TTTGTCTTTTTAGTAGAGATGGAGTTTCGCCCTGTGGCCCAGGCTGGTCTTGAACTCCTGACCTCAAGTGATCTGCCCAATTCGGCCTCCCAAAGTGCTGGGGCTACAGGCATGAGCCACCACACCTGGCCTATTTTGCTGTAATTATTTATTTGATGTTTGTCTTCCTTGCCAGTCTATAAGCCCATATATAATTTTCACAGTGATATTCTGAGGGCGCCCAGTGGTTCCTGGCACATAGTAGGATGTTAGAAATATTAATTGCATAAACAATACAGGAATGAAGTGCAGAGGCCGAAGGACCAGGAAGCTCTTCCAAGAGAACATAGATTTATTTGGAACCCAGCATTGCTCGGCTGAAGGCACACTGGGATCACCCCCAGAGATGGCATGAGAGGGGCGTGAGAGTGGGGGTGGCCATGGGAGGAGCACGGCAGGGAGAGGACGGGGCTGATGACGAAAAGCTCAGGAAGGGGGCAGTGTGAAGGGAGGGAGGAAACTCAGGAGGATGTGGGATCCTCGTGACTTAAATTCTCCAGCTGTCCTTTCTTTGGATTTAACCTATAAAAAGATGGCCTAATTGATAGTCTCCCCCAGCCCAAATGTCCTGCCACCCCAGTCATCCTACTAGCTGGGTGCTTCAACGTCAGACCCACCTGGGTTGTGTATTAAGCATGTAGACTCCTGGGCCCCACCTGGCATCGTTAGAATCTCTGGGAGTGGGACTTGGAGATCTACATCTTAACATGCTCGTGGGTGGTTATTTTTTTTTTTGTAATGCACATTGATGAGAGCATGGGGACTGCGTCTATCTTGTTCACATGTGTATCCCAAAAACCTAGCCCAGTCCAGGGTGGGAATGAGGAACTTGGTATTTCTTGATGGGTGAATAAACAAATGAATGAATTTCATAGTCACGGAAATGTGTATATTTTTTCCCCAAGGCTAAAAGGAGAGTGATGCTGCATCCTTATGGTCCTCCATTATTTTCTTCACCCTCTAGGGCCAATTTCCCCACTGGCAAGCAAGGGCAGTTGGACTGAATAAGCCACAGGACTTCTTCCTGCCTTAATAATCCACAGCAGCACGACTCTGTGCTTTCCATTTCTTTTTGCCTGCCTTCCTGCAAGGGGGGAAAGAATCAAGATGAAAATCAACCACAGCCCGGAGATTTGTTGTCAGTTTTTTAATAGGAGGAGCGGAGTCAAAGAGTTTAGAGAAATGTAGAAAAAGACCTTTTACTTTTTGCTGGAACATGATATGGTTTGTGCATGGCACATACATATTAAAAAAATAGAAGTTTCACATTTCACAAGCGCATGACTGAACAGCATCTGGGCTGCGTTACCTGCTGTGCCTAAGCTGGAGGACAGCTCTACCCTGGGACCAGCCTGAGGTGCTTAGTGATCTACGGAAAGAGGAAACCATGCAGAACATGGCTCTCTGATGCTGAAATTTCAGTTCAATGAGGTATACAAACGTGGTTCTGTGTTGGCTATCTGCATGACGGGCTAGATTCAGGACCTGTTTGGGGTTTAATCACATCCTCCTCCTGTTCTGGGAGGAGGAAGCATCAGTCAGATGTCAGCAGAGCCTGGAGTATCTCTCTCTATTCTTCTGGGCTTGTCCCAAACACTCCTCTCTTTGGTGTTTTTCTCGGAGGTAGCAGAATGAGTGGCTGGTTCCTTCAGGGGAGGAGCAAGTATTAGAGGCTCACTTTACAGACACAGGTGTGGAAAGTGGCAGAGAATACCTCCTCAGTGACAGCTGACCAGAGTCTTCGACGAAAAACATTGGGATAGCAGGAGAAGGAGTTTTCTAGCTTGTGTCCCCTTGAAAGTGGGCAGAAGGAGACAGAGGGCAGAGAGGAAATCCTGTGGGACGTTTGTAGATGTGCATTTGGTAGATATGTTTGTATCAGTGACTGTGGCACACAGCGGGCAAAGGCTATGGGCGTCAACGCGGGGCGGAAGGAGAACTACAGTTCATGGACTCTCCTGTTTCTTCTCTCAGGACCTGCAGAGAACAAGAACTTGACGGGTCTGAGGTCCAGGACAAGAAAGTGGCCCAGAACCAGCATCGAAGGAGAACTGCAAACTGTGCAGAACAGGTTGAGGGTCAGGAGAGAATTTCGGGCCTGGGGGTTTCTGGGCAGGAGAGATACCTATATGTCTAAAGAGGAGAGAGGTTTGTACCCTGAGTCAGACGGCAGAAGAAAATGTTGTCTTTGTTAGGCCATAGACTGGCCCTGACCAAGGGCTTGGCATGTGTGTTAGGGCACTGTGGGATGTGGCCGCGGAGGGGAAGGCTGTGGAGGATGATGGTAGGGTATTAATTACAAAATTACATGCTGCTTTCCAGAGAGGTTCAAAAATGTATGGGAAGTGGGAAGGGAAGGGGTGTTAGAAGGCAGTGCATGATGAAACAAACATAATCAACAGCTTGAACAAGGCATTTGAAGTTTCCGGGTTTCCTATGAGGTCCATCCACTGCTCTGAAAAGGGTGGATGTTTTACAAGGAACCTGGGGCTCCCCCATTGCTTCTAAGCTAACCTCTTCAGCTGCAGCTGAGAGGCACATCTTCAAGCGTGTGCAGATATGCAATGTCTTCTGCAGCCTTTGTGATCCAATGGGCCTGACAACTGAGTTCAGCACTCAGTGGCCACGTGACTTCACGCCCGGACACAGATACAGAAGCCAGAGGGAAGGGACTGAAATGTGTCCTGCTGATCTTACTCCGGTCCTGTGTCTTAACCCACTTCTGTGGATGGGGATTGGCATTTCCCTCCTTCCTTCCTTCCCTCCCTCCCTCCCTCCTTCCTTCCTTGCTTCCTTCCTTCTTTCCTTCCTTTTCTTTTTCTTTTCTTTCTTTCTTTCTTTTTTTTTTTTTTTTTTTTTTTAATAGAGACAAGGTTTCACCGTGTTGCCCAGGCTGGTCTCAAACTCCTGAGCTCAGTCTGCCCGCCTCGGCCTCCCAAAGTGCTGGGATTATAGGTGTGAGCCACTGTACCCAGCCAGGGATTGACTTTTCTTAAGCCTAAAGTCACTTATAGGAAAACAGAAAGCTCTTGAGAGAATTTCTTTGCATGGGAAGGATTTTAAAGAGTCACCCACACATCCCTGCGTCTAAAGGTGGTATTCAAAATACTTAGCAACCAGATGGGCATGGTGGCTCATGCCTGTAATCCCAATAGTTTGGGAGGCTGAGGAGGGCGGATAGCTTGAGCTCAGAAGTTCGAGACCAGCCTGGCCAACATGGCAAAACCCTGTCTCTACCAAAAAAAAAAAGAAAAAGAAAAAGAAAAAGAAAAAGAAAATTAGCTGGGCATGGTGGTGCACACCTGTAGAGCCAGCTACTCAGGAGGCTGAGGAAGGAGAATCACTTGAGCCCAGGAGGTGGAGGTTGCAGTGAGCTGAGATCACAACACTGCACTCCAGCCTGGGTGACAGAGCAAGACCCTGTCACAAACAAACAACCCCCAAATATTTAGCAACTGATATAGCATGGGCCCTGGTACCAGTTAGACAGACACCCAGCCCCTCATAAACGGTGCTGGTGCAACTGCTATGCAGTGGCTGAATAGCATGCCTGCTTGATTGTAGGCATATCTTAGCTTCTCCTTCTCATTCCTAGCATGAAAAATGAAAGTGGACATTTGGGGAGACACCTTGCCAGGATGTGAGCAATGTTATGCTCCTCTAGAGAGAAGAAGGAAAGGGCTGGCAGTCCAAGGCTTTGGGGATTCTCTCGAAGATGGCTCCTCTCATGCCATGTGAGCTGAAAGATCTCGGAAGAAGGGAATCTATGCTATGAGACCTAAAACTTCTCCTTTGTTCTCTGGATCACAGTCACACCATCCCCTAGCCATTCCACACTCCAAGCTCCACTGGGAACTGATACGCACCTCAGGTTCAGGGTGCCTGCATTTCTGATGGACCCTGTTCAAGAGACTGATTGCACTGTACAAGACTCCCTAAAAACCAGTCAGCTTTATCTGCGTCTCCAAGCGGACCTGCACTTGAATATTCCAAAGAGTCAAGACGGACTAGTTTTCTCCCTTTTCTATCACATCCGAGGCTCAGCCACACAAACACGTGCTTCAGGGTTTCTACTGTCTCTTCCATCTTCACGTACCGTGGTGTGGCTTTTTCCTCCTCACCCAGCACGTGTCCTCCCTGATATCTGCAGGGCAGAGGAGGTGGCCGGTGATGTGTCTCTCCCTCTAATTACTGACCTCCATCTTCAGCTCAAAATTCCTCTGCCCAGATCTATCTACAGATGGATACAACTGCAAATAGTTAGGTATGTTGAAGATGAAGGTATTTGCAACAGATGAGGATTGTCTTGCAGGCCGGGGCCCCCGAGAGTCACAGAGGGTGTCAGGTCATTTTGTAACTCGATGGTTCACATATGCCAGAAATATTTGCACTCTGATAGGGCTCTCTCTGGTTTCAGATTTAGGAACATTCCAATGGTTTGGGAATCTGAAGGCTCCAGGCGGACATTTATAGTCAGTTGGGGAACCTCTGTTTTAAATACTCTTAAGGACAGAAGGCAGGAAGGAGCTGCTTCAGCTTGGCTTCTTGACTTCACGGGGTTATTACTTTTCTTCTACTGCAGGGAGGAAGACAGCACAGACCCTGGAGGTCACGGTGCCCATTCTGCTGTATCCAGGCACAGCGTGTATGTGAGATGAGGATGAGCAAGAAGGAAGTGAGGGTATCAGATGAGAACTTGGGTGCATTTCCTGGACATAGTTGGAGAGGAATTACCATCTGTAGTCCAAAGCCTCTCTACTTCCTTCATGCCCTATTTTGTCCCCCATCCCTCGCCAAAGAGGTTGCCATTATTAGGATCCTTGTCATCTGAGGTTAAAATAAGACCGGTTCAAAGTGAGGAAACATTATGGGCAGGCAGCCTGGCCCCTGCTTGTTCTTGGAGCCACACACAGCCTGAGTTCTCCAGGCAGAGTGGCTCTCCTAGAACATCCAGTGCCTTCTGCTGCCTCCACAAGCCTTCCTCAGCTGCCCTGGACTCTGCTCTACCCCTTAACTCCAAGAAGGGAAAAGCTTCTCCCCCAGCTTCCGTGACAATTCATCCCAGTATCCCGAGGGCCCTCACTGGCAGGAAGCTTGAAGTGCCTGATCACTCTCTTTCGGGTTTGCAATACAACCTTACACCCTCTCACCCTGGCGTCTCTGCACTTTGAGGACGGCTGCTCCCCGCTGACCTGTGCCATTCATGTAGTCAGTGGCCTCTGAAAGGAAAGACGATTGGAAAGAGGCAGGATGGGAGCACATATTAATCATACCGGCTTGACAAGTGACATTCGTACAGGCAGATTCCTGCAGCCATGATGCTAGGAGAGAGAAACTCGATGCTTTGAAATGCCTTTGCTCTGAGAATATATAGAACGCTATATGGACATACAACAATGCACACAAACTCCTACCCTGGCCTTTTCCTTTGCACATGGTCACATTCCTCAAGTGTCACCGATAGCTTCTTTCCTCCGGGGGAGGTCAGAGCATGGGATCCATTGCCATTCTAAGATGCTGCTTGCAACCCTCACTTGAGTGGGCTACATGCCATGGGGTCCAGCGCGGCCAGCGGCAACAACTGGGGTCTCCCCAACTGCAAGATAAGCCTGACTCAGAAGCCATGGAGGGCAAGGGGAATTATTTGCTTGTGCAAAATTCCAATAGGACACTTGCTGCTTTAAATCTGTGAGCCTTCTTTTGTGGGTCCTTATATCCTGGGAAGGAAGTGAGTGACAGTCATGATCAGGGACACCTTGCTGCCCCGCTTTGCCCGTCCGTGTTTGCTCAGGGCGATGTAGGTCCCTCGGTACAAGTCTGACTCATAGGCGTTGTAATTGTTGGGCAGGAGGGTTTCTCTGAACTTGCATTCTTCTTGGAAGCTGGGCTGTGAAAGACACGGGCAAACAGCAGAGACTGGGTTACAAATGAGGAGTGCTGCAGATGCCAGCTGGGCTGCACAGAGTAGGCCCCTCTGCCGGGCGCCCCTTCCTTTCCCTTTGTGAGGCAACCACTGTGAGATCTGAGTATCCTGGGTGAGTAGAATGGTGAGCAGTTAGGATGGGAAGGGGCTGCAGGCTCTCATGGTTTCCTGTCACCTTCTTCCCTCTTTTACTAGAAGGCCCAGGGACACAGGGGGGTGGTCTGTGCCACATGGGGCAGAGCTGAGGCTCTGCCACTCAGGTCTCCTGACTTCCAGAGAACTTTCTACTGAGTCCCTAGATGGTTACTTATTCCATTCAAAGAACAGACCAGGAAATGATACAATATGCTGTTTTCTCTCTCTCTTTTTTTTTTTTTTTAAAGATGGGGTTTCACCATGATGGCAAGGCTGGTCTTGAACTCCTGACCTCAGGTGATCCACCCACCTCGGCCTCCCAAAGTGCTAGGATTACAGGCGTGAGCCACCGCACCCAGACTTAATAAGCTGTTTTCTCAAGGGCACGGTGAGAGGGAGTCTACCAGAGCAGGGATGAGAGCCAGGGTGCTATTTCGTGACTTTCTGCTTCGCAGTTGTGTGGCCTTGGGCAGGCTCCTTCCCTTTCAGCCTCAGTTTTCTTTTCTGCAAACTGTGTGTGTTGGGGGAAGGAGAGAGGTGGTTGGTGAAGGGGTGGAGACACAGACCATCTCTTAAGCCCTTTCCAGCACTGTCTGTCTTTCTTTCCACCTGTGGTTCCTCAGTCCATCTTTCTTGATTTAAGTCCAAAGTTTTCTATCCCTCAAATAGGCCCATTCTCAGTTTTGACTTTGAGCCTAGAAGATGTCTGGTACCTCCTAAACCAGGGGTTCCCAACCCCTAGGCTGCAGACCCACACCAGCCAGTGGCCCATGCCAGTGCAGAAACTGGGCTGCACAGCAGGAGGTGAGTGGTGGCTGGGCGAAGCTTCATCTGTTTTACCCCTACTCCCCACCGCTTGCATTACCACCTGAACTCCGTCTCCCGTCAGATCAGCAGAGGCATTAGATTCTCAGCAAGAACACTGCTGTGAGCTTTGAATGCAAGGGATCTGGGTTGCATGATCCTTATTAAAATCGAATGCCTGGTGACCCGAGGTGGAACAATTTCATCCCAGTACCATCCTTCCACCCCCATCCTGTCCATGGAAATAGTCTTCCATGAAACTGGTCCTTGGTGCCAAAAAGGTTGGGAACTGCTGTCCTAGACAATCATAGTTCTCTAGGGATATGCAGGAACAGAGATGGTGAGGAGCAGGGATTTTCACCAGGAAAAAGACCTGGTTCCCAATATGATAGTGATGCCAAGGAGTCTGGGACCAACAAAAAATGGCCCTTTCCATGCTAATTTGGTAGAGGAGTGTGTGTGGACCACCTGTTCAGAACATGTACGCTGGACTTCCTGTCTCACATGCACAAGTTCATTCCCAGTACATCACCCCACGTCTTCCTTCTCTCCTAGAAAAGACGGCTCTTTCATGTGCAGCCTGCCTGGGTGGTTGCCCTGAGGGAGTGTGCAGGGATCTCCTGTTCTTGTGGGGAAGCAACTGGGCAGGGGCTAGAAGAACAGAGTGAGTTGGGAGCCAGAGACCTGGGATCTACTCTTTTTTTCTTCTTTTCTGAGATGGAGTCTTGCTCTGTCACCCAGGCTGGAGCGCAGTGGCAGGATCTCAGCTCACTGCAACCTCTGCCTCCCAGGCCGAAAGCACTTCTGCCTCAGCCTTCCAAGCAGCTAAAACTAAAGGCATGCACCGTCATGCCCAGCTAATTTTTGGATTTTTAGTAGAGATGGGGTTTTGCCATGTTGGCCAGGATGGTGTTGATCTTTTGATTTCATGATTCACCCGCCTCAGCCTCCCAAAGTGCTAGGATTACGGGCATGAGCCACCACACCTGGCCCAGGATCTACTCTTGAAAAGAACTATAGAATGAGAAATGAGTGGAGGATAACTTCTGACTCCTTCTTGCTCAGGTATTTAAAAAACCCACTCAGTGGCTGCTGGGCTGTGCCGGAGGTGTTCTCTGACCTTCTGTGAAGTGTCTCACCTGGCTGGCAATGTAGGTAGACGAGAAGCTCTGGGCTCTTGCTCTTCAGAAGGGCTGGTAAGTAGCTTGCGCCTCAGGGGACTCAGACTCCCAGAGACCTTTCGGTGGCCCTCTCTGGCAACATTTTGAACAGCCATACTTTCTTTCTCAATAGACTACAAGATCCCCAAGATGAGGACTGTGTCTTGCATGGTACATGATGCTGAGTCAATGGTGGTTTAATAAGGACAACATGGGTTTGGTGGCTCACACCTGTAATCCCAGTACTTTGGGAGGCCAAGACAGGAGGATCCCATGAGCCCAGAAGTTTGAGAGGAACCTAGGCAACATAGCAAAATTTTATCTCTACAAAACCTTAAAAAAAAAAAAAAAAAAAAAGCCAGGCGTGGTGGTACATGCATGTAGTCCCAGCTACTCTGGAGGCTGAGGTGGGAGGATCACTGGAGGTCAAGGCTGCAGTGAGCCATGATTGCTCCTCCACACTCCAGCCTGGGTGACAGAGTGAGATCCTGCCTCAAGAATAAATAAATAAGTAAATAAGGACAACCCTGAAACATAAGGGGACCCTGCATGGGTGGCCCTTTCAATGTGATGTGGGAGTGGACGAGGGGACAGCCTTGCCTGTGGAAACACAGGGAAACTCCCCCTCATACATGTTTCCTATGTTCTTCTCTCCCGCTGGCAGCTTATTTACAAAGCACTTTCACTGATATTAACTTGCTTGAGATAAACGTGAAGACGTTCACCAGCCATGTCAGCTGGTTAATGCCACATGAGGCGGATGGGTTTTCATAAGCGTTCCTGTTCTCGTTAACGATGCTCAGGACATATTTGCCAAATGAGTGAATGAAGGGATGCCCATTTTGGTAAAAAAGGATGAACTAATCCACATCGGTCAAGAACATATTTGTGCCACAGCTTTCAGGTTAGACTGATGATTTGTGCCACAACTTTCAGATTAGAGCCTCTTACTTAGCTATGTGAGCTCCGGCAAATCATTTAACCTCCAAAGCTTACTGTTCCCTCCTCTGTGAAGTAGGAACAGTAAGAAAAACTATGTCGTAAAATTGGAATAAGTATTAATTGAATTAATGCATGGAAAGTCCTGGGAACAATGCTTGCTATATAGTAAAATTAAAAAAAAATCATTATTAGTATTCTTCTCTAAGTAAATCATGAGCTACTTTACATTAAAAACCTTAAAAGACTGCCTTACCCTGGATCACCAGTCCCATAAGACTTGCTGTGGGTTACTGGACAATTAAGCTTTTAAGCTCTGCAGTTTTTGACCGAGTGCCTGGGAGACAGTGAGCTGACCTGGAAGAGCAGGAAGCGAGAGTAAGGGCAGAGGTTGACGCTGGCTCTGAACCACATCCCCTCAACAGGAGCTTCTCTGGACCCTGGTTTTCTGCACTGTGCACAGGGAGTAGGGTCAGTCACAGGACTTCGACTGTTGATGGGCAAGCCTGGGAGCAGCAGCACCAGCAGAAATTCAGCTCAGAACTGATGGAAACATTCCAAGTAAAGCTACACTAATGAGAAGTCTGGTAGAGGTAAATGAACAAGATAGAATCTGGCAGTAGATCCCGACACATACATGGATGTAAAATAAAGTGAATCTACATGATTACAAAGTAAAAGTGGTACTTTAAATAACTAGAGAAAACATGATGTTGGAACAACTGAATGGTATTTTATTATAATAATAAAGTTTGATGTGTATGACTTTATCCCTTATATCAAAATCAATTCCAAAAGGAGCAAAGATTTAAATGTAAAAAAGAGTAACATTAAAATCAAGAAAAAAAAATGTTTAAGGGTACCCCTGAAACAGAAAAAATTTTTAAATAAACTCAGAATCAGGAATATCTTTCTAAGCAGAATATCTTTCTAAGCAGGACACAACAAAATTAAAGCCATTTTAAAAAACTAATAAACTAGTCTTCTATTTGAAAATTATTACCTAAAATAAGAACAGAAATGGTAAACTGGATGAAAATACTTACAACACACTTATGTCAAAGAGTACATTTTGTTACTATATTCAGACCCCTAAACTCACTGGAGAATGAACGGTGTTTATAAAACAGAAAATTCTCAGGAAAGGAAATATAAATGGCATTTGAGCAGAAGAGAATATGCCTAATAAGAGAAATGTAAATTATAACTGTGCATCACATTTTTGTGGCCAGATTGCAAAGAGAAAAGCATTTGACACTATGCTTTCATTAGTGAGGGCATAGAAACTAGGAATTCTCATTTAATGTCCTCTGATGTGTGTACTGTTATGATCTCTATAAAGAACAATTTGGCAATATCTACCAGAATAAAGGATGAATATAGCAACTGATCAGCAATTCCACTTTTAGAAATTTATCTTACTGATACTCTCACACGTGCACCAAAGTTACTACAGCATTAAATAACAAAAGACCAAAAACAATGTATCTATTGAGAGGAGTAACTGACTCAATTATGGTAGATCCACATGATGGAAGTCTATAAGCCTTGAAAAAATAAGAAGTCCCTCTACAGTGGCATGCAATGGCCTCAAGGACAGATTGCTAGGTGAAGACACGAGGTTTGAAACAGTGTTAGTATAGTATGCTCCTGTTTGTGTGAATTTAAAAAGATGCTACCAGAGCGTGCACATTGTGCATAGGCTATTTCTGGAATGACACACTGGTAACTGTGGCTGTCCCCAGGGAGGAACTCAGTGGCTTCAAGACAATGGTAGGAGTGAGACTTTCCATAGAATATTCTTTGATACTTTTTCTTTTTCCTGAAAACATGTTCCTGTGCTACCCAGTCAAGTAAGTAAATTATTTAAAGTGGGAAAGGAATTTAGGGTAGCAGATAGGCCAGGAAATGAAGCGAGAAAACATT